GGAGTCAGGTGACAGAGAGAGAGAGAGAGAGAGAGAGAGAGAGAGAGAGAGAGAGAGAGAGAGAGAGAGAGAGAGAACGCTAAATTAGAGATTAATACTGAAGTGTCTGATGCTCCCTCACGAGCTATAGCACAAAGCACACTCTAGACAAACAGCAGTAAAACCATCATTTCTAATGATATGCATTAATATAGCCCAAACTACCTGAGATCTTAAGAACCCAAGCTCAGAAAATCAAATCAAGTAACTAAGTCCCCCAGTTGATTTTATTTTATACATATATATTCATCTACTTAGCTAGGTTTTTTCCCAAAATCACAGTTATTTCAAGGTTTTGTTTTGTTTTGAATTTTGAGACAGGTCAGAGTGTAGCCAGGCTGGACACAACTTGCCGTCCTCTTGGTTAGCCTCCTGGTTGCTACTATTATAGATATGCACCAGATTGATCGGCAATTTTCAATGTTAATATGTAGGAATTTCTTAATTACTTTTGCTGTTTTTTCCTCAGTTGTTCCAGGTCAGTATTCCAAACTTATAAAAAAATTCTTGAGCACATCGAAAAGCCTGTCTTATTCAGATTACCTCCATCTTGTCTTAATTCCACTAATCATCATCAAAATAGCTAATTTGATGCTGTTACGGACCAAGCACTACTCTAAATGTTATACTTCTTTTTAACCCTCAGAATAGGCCTACAGAATGCTTATGATTGTATCATTACTGCCAAAGATAGTTTAGGCAAGCATCAGAGAAAGAAGCAATCCCAGGCTGATTGCCAACCCCCATTGACCCAGTGCCAACCCCCATTCTCGCAGCCACTACCCAGTGCAATGTTCTATCCCCTGCACTGATGCCACCTTCATCAGCACCACCACCTCTTATAACTCTGATAATAAATGTCTCATCTGTGGACAGAGCCCTGGACCACTGACTAGAGAGTTCTTTCTCGGTAAACATTACCATTGATTCAGGCGCATGCACTGTCTGACTCACGCAGGAGCCAGTTCACTTTAAAAGACCACTAGCTACATAAACCACACCACTTTATTCACAAAATATCATGTCTATCAAAATGTTTTGCAGTTCTGAAAAATAAAGTGCCCATGATAGTCTCTTTATCTGCTAGTGCCTGCATTCCTCGCCAATTTTATTTTCTTTTTAAGGCATGTCCTTGGGCTGGAGAGAGAGCTCAGTTGGTAAAGTGCTTGGCTACATATGCTTACAAACCTGAGTTTGGTCCTCAGTGCCCAGGTAAAAGTCAGGCATGGCTCCCTATGCCTCTGTAATTCTGATGCAGATGGTGAAGGCAGGGGGATCCCAGGGCTCAGTACCCGGATAATTTAGTCGAAACAGTGAGCTCCAGGTTCAGTGAAGAAACTCTGTCTCAGAAAATGAAGCAGAAAATTGGACTAAAGAAGCTGACATGCCAGTGTCAACCTGTGGTCTCCAAATGCGCAGACAAGTACACACACACACACATTTCAGACAAGTTTCCTCCTACACCTTATCATCTTCCTCATTAAATTATGCACAACACTATAGCTAGCATTGTAGAGATAGGAGCGGCGGGGCTACGTTCCTGGCACCCGGCCGCCCGCACGGCTAGCTTATGCCCAAAATAATTACACGGAAACTGTATTCTTTTAAACATTGCCTGGCCCATTAGTTCCAGCCTCTAATTAGCTAGCTCTTACATATTGACCTAACCCATTTCTAATATTCTGTGTAGCCCACGAGGTGGCTTACCAGGGAGGATCTTAACCTGCGTCTGTCTGGAGTGGGAGAATCATGGCGACTCTCTGATTCAGCTTCTTTCTCCCAGCATTCTGTTCTGTTTACTCCACCCACCTAAGGGTTGGCCTATCAAATGGGCCTAGGCAGTTTCTTTATTAATAAGAAATCACTCCCACATCATAGCATGTTCTAAATGTGGAACCTTCCCTATATCAGATAACTCATGTGTCTCTCATTTTCTAGGGAACTGTTCTAATCTCAGTTCCAAGAACCCCCAAAACCTCAAGAAATCAATACTTCTACTTTAGATTATATAAACATTGTATATATGTGCATTTCTCAAGATTTTCATATATATTCTCAAAAGAGTGTATTTGATTCCACATATAAAATTTCCCAAAATAGTTGTATAAAATACTTTCTCACGTAATTCCTAACCATCCATTCAGTTTTGTTTGGTTTTGGTTTTTTCTCTCATACCATTCTTTTAAAGTATTTGTTGACTTACTCTATTTGGCTATAAACTTTCTGTGTTACTACCTCACCAAACTCCCAAGTTCCGGTCACGTGGGAACCATGACCTTGCTGCCATGGTAACAGCCTAGCCCCACTCCACTCACCCACTTGTTGCCATCAGCTGGGGAAGCCATTGTTTTCCAGGATCACTCTATAAATGTCTGAGCTAATGAGGAAACAGAGGAATTGAGCAACACTATTATCAAATTGTTTCTCTGTTCATTATTTCATTTTTCACAGATGTGTGTAAACATCGCCTTTCTTGGGCTAACAGTGGGTGATGGCACAGGTTCCTAAGGAAAGGTTGGTATAACCTTGGCTCTGTTTGAGAAAGAATGGAGCTGCACAAAAGTGACTCATTCCTAATTCCTTTCTTTAAAAGTCAGCAACCCCATGGTTTAGCATATATACACTCCAATTAACCTCAGTTGTTTTCTTGCCCAATATGACCCCTAATTACCCAAGGAAACAAAATAATAGAGACCTCGGAACCTAAATTTTGAATTCACACGTTCTTCAGTATCGACTGTAAAATTCTTCGTTATACGCTAGGCAAGACTGAGCAATTTGTAGACCATTTTTTGATACTTGATATTTTTAATATTCTTTGGCTGTGAGTCCTGTGTCGACTGGTTACTGTTATTGTGACCAAATGTTTAAGGTATTCACTGTAGGGGCTGGAGAGATGGCTCAGTGGTTAAGAGCACAAGCGGCTTCTTCCAGAGGACCCAGGTTCCATTCCCAACTCCCACAGGGCAGCTCACAAATGTCTGGAACTCCAGCTGCAGGGCATCAGACACCCTCACACAGACATGCATACATGCAGGCAAAACACCAATACACATGAAATAAAAATAAATAAAAATTTTTAAAAAGATATTCAACTTAAAAGGAAGAAAAGTTTATTTGGAGTCACAGGTCCTTAGCCCTGTGCTCTATGCCTATGGTGACAGAGTAAGTATATCATGTCAGAAATGTATATGTAATAGAGGAGACATGTCTCCCTCATGGGGACCAGAGAGCATACTACCTAAGACCTAAATTCCTTCCATGTGACCCCCATAACCTAGATGTTCCACCACCTCCTAGCAGCGCTGCAGACTGAAAGCCATGCATGTAACACATAGGTGGTCTGCTAAGTGAATATCATGCTTATTACTTACGTAGGGCACATACTAATGGTGAGTAAACAATGATGGCAGAGGTCAGTGCTGGTGTGAATGGTAATGGTGGTAGTGGTGGGGATGCTGTTGAGTATGAGAACAGCAATAACTGCACACTGAACTCCAGGGGAACAGAGACCATGTCTAACTCATCTTGAGCATCCTCAACATCTACACTAGGGCATGAGACATGATACTAACAAAGAGATGTTAAATTGGTGATCTACACGGGTTAGAGAGATGGCTCAGTGGTTAAACGCACTGGCTGCTCTTCCAGAGGTCCTGAATTCAATCCCAGCCATCACATGGGTGGCTCACAACCATCCATAATAGAATCTGATGCCCTCTTCCGACATACATGTCAGGTGTACATGCAGAGCACTCGTATGTAAAATATAAATAAAATTTTTAAAAAATGATGACCTATTACCAAGTACAAGATAGTAAGAACTGAATTAAGATAGAAAAAGCTGGGGGTGGGGTAGTGTGATGAACTAGAATGAACAGGAAAGGTTATGTTGAGGAGGAAGACATATAAAGGATGGGTTACCCCAGTGCGTGTAAAGTATGCCAGAAGAGAAGAGGAATAAACGTCTTCGTTTGGTAGAAAGGTGACGCAGCAAGCATGGGACATAGATACCATGTTCAGTACCAAGCCTAGAAACTAATAACCAAAGCAGCAAACTAAACTCTATGCTTTTGAAGTTTCATGTTGCAGCAACTCTTTGTAGTTAAGTCTTTCTTGCAGACAAACCATGCAGCGTGATAATAAAAATACAGGCTTTACAGGAAAGCAAATCTAGATTTGGATTCTTGTTTTCACTCTTCAATAAATGTATCATCTTGGATACGGCCCTTCAAACTTTGGCTTCCTCTTCTGTAAAATGTGACTCTCCCTGCCTATCCCTCAGGCTGAGGGGAAGGTAGGGTGAAGCACCTGGCAGAAGGCATGCCTTGCTTCTGCTGGCACACAGTAGGTGTGCAATGAACACAGAGATACTGATGGAGGTGATCGAGTGAGCAGCGCCTTCTTTTGTCAGTGCCAAGTCAACAGCGTAGCTTTGGTAGCATTTGTTTTAGGCAAGGAGCTTGACCTTGTTAAATCCGAGAGCAACTGGGCTTTTTAACGTGGAAATAACTCAGAAAAGGGTTGTGAGCTATGGAACACCACGTGACTCATCTCTTCCTAATGAAGGAATGCAGGTTTTCAGGCTGAATACTTGATTGGGTTGGAAGGCTCTAGCGGGGAAATAGGAAAGTCTCTCCTTTAACCACCTGCCGCACAAACTGTCATGCAAATACTGCCCTATGCTTTATGCAGGCCGTGGAGAAACCCCTATGGCTTCGTTCTTTGCTTGGATTTTTCTCCCATAGCCAAGTAGCTGAATCGATGTCAAGTGTGTTTGTCTATAAACCGGCCAAATATTTCCTTTAAATACTTGTGCTTGTGTTGAACACACAGCTACTGTGTGATCGTGGGTTTTTGGGTAAAAGACCCTGCCCCCAGTCCTTTAGCGAGCTCTAGTTCAATGTGCCCGTGCCTTTTACGTAAGTCACAAATAAATGGAAGCATTCCATCTCCTACAGGTTCCTCCAGGGGACCCAGTCCTCTGACTATGGGGGCTCAGGACACCCTCCCAGTTGCTGCAGCATTCACAGAAACCGTCAACGCCTACTTCAAAGGAGCAGACCCGAGCAAGTAAGCCTGGGTGGGATAAGGACCCCTATCCCTCTTGAAAACCTGTCCTGTCTAGTGGGCAGGGGTTGGGGGGGGCACTCTAAACATAACCATCCTACCTGCTGAGAAGGAGTTCTGTGGATCAGATCCATAAATTCTACAAATTCTCTGAAATCACTTTAAAGACACGAACCACGTCCTATGTGTGCATTTTCCCCCACAGAGAGATATACAGTTTTTCACACTCAGTAACAAAGGGAATCCTGACTCCGAACCACTGACAGGAACTATTAATCCACCCGGCACACCAAACACCCACACCACACTACTGCCAAGTATATCCACTGATGTAATTCTGGGCCTGAGTTCCAGCAATAAACAGAAGAAAACCTAAGTGAGGGATGGACTGTTCATAGTTCTTTTTTTCACTCGCAAGAATGGGGCTTAGAAAATCTTACCATGTAGAATGAGAGGAATGAGAAGTATCTGATATGCTTACAGACTGTATTGATTAATTAAACCTTTTTTAAAGATCTTAAGATTCTTAGACAGTCTTTAAAAAAAAGTCAAGTTAAAATGAGACCTCACTGCTCACCAAATAGTTAAAGTTAAGATGGATTCTGCTCAGTGCTGGTGAGGCTGTGGAAATGCTGAGAGATTCACACAGCTGCATTTTCCATTTTAGGAAACACTTGGGAGAAAAGAAGAAAGGAAAAAGAGAGGGGAGAAAGGAGGAAAAGAAAGAATAAGGAAACAGAGGGGGGGTCATGGCAAAGAAAGAAACAAAGACAGGTGGGCTGTTTCATTAAAAGAGAAAGGTGGCAGGAGGAGATGGTGCACGCCTTTAAGCCCAGCACTGGGGTTGCAGAGGCAAGTGTATCTCTGTGAGCTCAAGGCCATCCTGGTCTACAGAGCTGGTCCCAGAACAGGCTCCAAAGCTACACAGAGAAACCCTGTCTCAAAAAAGAAACAAACAAACAAACAAACAAAAAGTGAAAGATATCCCCAACACATGACCCAGTGATCCCTCATACCTAGCAAGAAAGAATTAGAGCCACACCCGCTCAAAGACCTATCTGTGTACATTGCCCACACCTTTGTAACAGATGAAGGCAGGAAAGGACTCTAATATGCCTTGGTGGCTAAATTGGTTTATTATTTTTAAAAATGATATATCCATTCCTCAAACTAGAGATAAATGGACTAGTGATGCATGGAATTACAGGGACAAATCTGAAGATAGTTCTTCCAGGGAACAAAGTCTGACTCCGCCCCCAAGCACACACCTTTTAGATTAACTTATAGAAAGTGCAACACAATGCAGAGTGATGAAAGCACATAGCAGGTACCTAGGATGGAGGACTGCAAAACTAGGCCAAAAGGATTACAGAAAGTCAGGAAGACATGTTTGGGGACAATGGAAACATGGGGCTTGGTTATGTATTGATTTTATATCATACAAATGTGTAGAATTTAAAAGTAGCTACACTTTATCATATTCATACCTCCATGAAGCCTTGAAAAAAATGGTGATTCTTCTAAACTATCATCTCACCATGTTTTAATTTCTATGACTAATTTAGTTGTGACAAACTAGTCAAAATAATGGACTAGAGAACTAATAAATGAAGATGTAAGAACTTTCCCTTGGAGAACAGAAAAGACACTGATGACATTGTTCAAAGACCTGAAGTGAGTCCTAGTGAGGTATGATGATAAAATGCAGGTGGTTATCTCCAAATAAGCAAAAACGCAAGACTAAATGGTTCGATTTGTGAAGCCCACCAATATTCTTTGTGCTGGTCTTCCAAAACACGTTCAACAATATAGCCAGCCACTCTGGGGCCAGCAAGGTGGCTTAACTGGTCAACGCTCTTGCCTCCAAGATGGATGACTGGACTGAGCTCCAGCCCTAGGCCCCACCTGGTGGAAGGAGAGAACCCACTCCCCCAGGTTGTTCTCTTACTACCCCAAATGCATGCACATGCACGCACACACAGTCAGTACATTTTAGGCCAGTTTTTTCTTGATGATTTTTTCTTTAGTAGAGGGGTACTTGTTACTCCCCAAAACAGATAGTCAAAATGATAAATGCAAATTTCTAGTTCTTGAAATTGCCACCCATTGCAGAAACATATATTATTTCCTTACAACTAAAGCTCTTTAAAAAAAACAGAAACAGTTCTCAAATTCTCAGGTGAGCTAGAAATGACTTGGTGGTTGGGAGCATAATTGTAGGTGTTTTACGTTGTCACTCCGGCCTCTTCTATTCCTCCACCGCCAGCATCCCGCACACTGACCCTGTGTCTCTTCTCTCTCCTCTCATGTGCTTGGTGTTCCAGGTGCATCGTCAAGATTACGGGAGAGATGGTCTTGTCCTTCCCCGCCGGCATCACCAGACACTTTGCCAACAACCCATCCCCAGCCGCTCTGACTTTTCGGGTGATAAATTCCAGCAGGTTAGAGCACGTCCTGCCGAACCCCCAACTTCTCTGCTGGTAAATATGATTCTGCATACAGTTTTAAAGAGATGATTAGCTTAGCACCCTGTGTCTGCCTGAGGAGAGTTCCATTGCAAGAATAGCGCCGTGACTGATTCCCCCACAGTGCAGATGTGCACAGAGATCTGACACCCAGACAGCGGCTTTGTGTGCTAGCTGTCAAGTTTTCTGTGTGTGGTGCTGTGTGCGAATATGTAATTCCGTGTGCGTTTGTGTGTTTTAGTGGCCAACTTCTAAAGGGGTTAAAGAGGCATTTAAGGCAAGTCCATATTAGGGACAACATAGACATGCCTGTTTCACTTGTTACTAATAAACAGTAAAGAAGAACAGTAGGTGATGAGCCCAATAAAAGAAAAATTTCTTGTGGTATGAACACTGTTTTAAGTGAAATAATATGGGAACTGTGGGCTATTTTTTCCACATAAATTTACAAGCCTTTTCAGTGAAGCCCACAGTTTTACTATAATGGTCATTGTTGGCACAGCTCACACCAGGGAAGGTTATGTGGATTTGTTCCCATAAATGCACACTTTCTCATTTCAAATCTGAAATGATGTCTGTATTAGGCATGGATGTGCATGTGTTCCTGGCTTACTGTGGGGGTGACAAAAGGAGTCGTTCTTGGCCACTTCTTCTCCATCACAAAGTGTGGGTATTCTGTTTAGAAGTCTCTCTCTAAAGTGCCCACACTCTTCCTTTTCAGCATGTTTCCTTGAGTTAGTCCCAACACCATGTCCCCGGACTGTCGCGGTAACAATTGTTTCCCTCCCTGGCTCCAATCTGGCCCTGCTCCAATCGCATTTACAGCCACTGACCTTGAGGAGACTGCTCTTTGCTCACAACTGACCAGTGGCATCACATGACACACGCCCCAGAATCTCAACTTGTCGCCGTTGGTTTTGAGCATCTACCCAAATCTATGTGTCTGTTCTCCTCATTAATCCCTACCTATCAAAAATGAGTGAAGTTCTGCCCCACATCAGGGCTTGGCAGGAACGTCGCTATCTTGTAACACTACCCTCCCCTTCTTCCTCGGGGGTCTCAGCTCCTCTGTCTCACCTGTTCCTCCCCTGCCCTCTCCAGCCGCACTGACCATCTCCAAAGTCAACGATGTCTCGTTGTCTTTCTCTGGAAACTCGCCATCCTTTCCATTGAAATTTTTCGATCTATTTGTTTGTTCATTCGCCACCCTGTCCCCATGAGATAGCACCATCCAGAGGGCGTGCCACTTGGCTGGCCCTTCATCATGAATGAAGAAGCAGCTGCAATGTAGATCAGGCGAGTGGTCCTTAAACAGACTGCTGACACCTGCTATCAGTGATGCTAAGCTTTTCAGAGAGCCAAGACTCTGCTGTCCCACTATAAGAAACTGTGACTACCACCATAAACTCCAAGGCCATCTTGTTTGTGAATTGAGGTTTTTATTTAGATGCTCTTGGATGCTGACAAAGGAGCGTGGTGGTGGTGGCTACATCCTTTTCAGTTAGTTAAGCCAACCCTTTTCATTTTTGTTGTGTTTTGTTTTCATTTCCAGATAAGCTCCTTCACTGTGTAACTGAGGCTGGCTTTGAACTTGTGATCCTCTTGCCTTGGCCTACTCAAAGCTAGGATTACGTGTGTGCACCTCTGAGTCTTTTAACTGGTTAATTTCTGAAAGTTATTACAAGCAGTTCAAAGGAAAATCTATTTACTCCCCCTTAATTGCATTGGCTGATTAGTTTAGGTAGAACTGAGAGAATGCAGGGGGAGCTACTGAGTACGGATGAGGAACTAGTTACCACTTCAAAGCACCCAGATGTTATTCGGCTGGGTTAGTAGACAGGAGCTCTTGGGACTGTTTGGCAGCAGAGCAGAGCCTCCTTGTGGGAACTGGGAGGCGTACGGGACACCACACCATGCACCGTGTTAAAACCCCCCTGGGGGATGCTCTCAAGAGTTCGGATTGTCAAAGGAGATGGAGAAATCAGAGACCATCTTCTAAAATGCTTCTTGTACAGAAGATGGTGTCAAAGAGATGCTACTTAATCATTGATTTTCCTTTCCATCTTCATAGTGATAATACACAAAATGATGCCAATACCAAGGAATTCTGGGTAAACATGCCAAATTTGATGACTCACCTAAAGAAAGTCTCTGAACAAAAACCCCAGGCTACATATTATAATGTGGACATGCTCAAATATCAGGTAAGCATATGGTACGGTCAGCGTTATCCTACTTCACATTCTAAAGGGCCTACTATTTTATAAAAGCAACATTTTTTTAAATATTATTGAAGTGCTGTAGTTATAAAAACCTTAAGCCTTAAAGAACCATGTGGGGACGAATGAGGATATTAATCAAATACCCATAAATACAAAGTGAGGTGTTTTAGTTTTAAATTATAGAAACAAATGCCCCCAAAAAAGGAACTTGAAAACACACATGCACACTTAATCAAGATTGTAAGTGTTAGAGCTGGAAAAATATGTCAGAGGTTATAAGCTGTCGAAAGCACTTACTGCTCTTGCAGAAGACATGCCTTCATTTCCCAGTCCCCAAGTTGTGGCTCACAACTCCATGGTGGCCCGTAAGTCCAATTCCAGGGGACCCGAGGCCATCTTTTGGCCTCTGCTGGCTCCTGCATGCATGTGGTGTACATAAATTCACACAAGCACACACATATATACATACAAATAATAAATAAATCTATTTTAAATATGATAGATTATTAATAAGTTAGATCAGCATAATCATGGTCAGATCACAAGTGTTCTAATACTTTTAATTTGAAGGGATTGGGTATAAATAACCTGGATTGTTTTCTACTGCGACAGCTTCATGAACTAGCTCTAATGAAGCCTTTGCTAGTAAATAATTCAGTGATGAACCCACAGGGTCCACACCCTAGCCAGAGAGCTATTAGCAATTGACAGGTGCTGAGGGAGTAAGGAGGTGAATTCTGCACGACAGACTAGGAACTCAAACAGGTATCACCGTCTGAAGAGAATATCTTGTTTCTTAATCACAGTCAGGCCTGACCTTTTTCTTGTCCTAGCTCGTTTACTACTGACTCTAACCAGACTGCAGACACTGTCGTTCTTCCAAGCAGAGGACCTGGATTCCGGTCCTGATGTTGACAAACCCCAAAGGAATAAGGACAGTGTCCAGCATTGTCTGCCTGATTGGTTTGTCGTGAAGAGCAAACATGGCATGCATATTAACAGTCAACCTGTTCAGGAGACACTTTCTAGCTATAAGCTAGGCACAGGGCTGTTTCTCCTCGAACCTTCCTGACAACCTAGGAGTCACGCTGTTTGTTACAATCCCCATTTAGCAGGTGAGAAAGTAGCCGAGGTTGAGTGAGGTTACACCTAACTTGTCTAAGACCAATCAGTTTGTTAAGTGGCAGGACTAGAACTCACACCCAAGAGTGTCCAGTCTCCTGGCCTCAGCCCTTAACCAATATGCTGCCTCACCTCCCTAAGGACAGAAAATGCACTCTGAGGTGCTGTAGGGGTTTCCACAGCTGACCTTGGATATGTGATTGTAACCTTAATAGTTTCCTCAAGGACACAGCACTCCCACCCGGAGCCTGAACTTCATTAGTTTACCCTGGAACCCTGTTTGGGAACAGCACAAATAATAATACAGCATGCGGGGTTATAAGCCCAGTCACAGTGGGAGCCAATCACGGTCTCTGGTTTGGTTTGATTGACAGTTGAAACTCACGCCTTCTCTCTCCTATCCTTTGGGTAAGGTGTCTGCCCAGGGCATTCAGTCCACACCTCTGAACTTGGCAGTGAACTGGCGGTGTGAGCCTGCGAGTACTGACCTGCGCATAGATTACAAATACAACACGGACGCCATGACCACCGCAGTGGCCCTTAACAACGTGCAGTTCCTGGTCCCCATAGACGGAGGAGTGACCAAGCTCCAGGCTGTGCTTCCTCCAGCGGTCTGGTAAAAACAAAAACAAAAAAAACTTCCTCCCTCTCTGCTCCTTAAAAGGGCTTCTTCTGGTTAAGGGACTGCAGAGTTTTAGCACCAGGGTTTTTACTGTGGAAAGGGACCTCAGCAAATCTGGGGGGAGGTGGGGGCAGGAGTTGGGGGACCAGTCTTTCCACTAGCAACAGCAAAATAAAGAATACTTATTTAAAATTAATGTGAGCTAACCAATGACTACAATGGAAATTACCTAAGCTAGGTGATTAACAAACACTTCATATCTATTTTCTGGGTAGGTGTGTTCTAAACGCTGTATCACTCTCTAACTATTTTTCTCACATTTCTGTGGCTGGTTAGAATAAGGAGAAGGAAGAACATTTATGTATGTAGGGGTATGTATGAGGTTAGGAAGAGCTACACATCTCGAGGCCCATTTTATTTTAATTAACACTATCTGAAAATGTCGCATCTCCTTGGTATGTAAAAAAAAAAAGCCGTTTGTTTTATTTTCAGGAATGCTGAACAACAAAGAATATTATGGAAAATTCCTGATATCTCCCAGAAGTCAGAAAATGGAGGTAATGTAACCACAGGCTTAAATCTGAGATAACCTGCAGGTGTCGGCCAACTGTGAACCCAAATCCTTGTAGTCCTAGAAAGAAGCAGAATGTTTGTTTAGTTCTTTTAATTTTTTTTCCCCCGGCGAGACACCAAAGAGGAAGGTTCACTAAAAGCCCCTTGATTTTATGGATGTTAAGAACTAAACATCTTAAATCAACCCATTTCTATTAATCTATGCATCTCCATGATGCTGTGGCCTACTGGTAAGGTTTTCCAGCATCTCCTTTGGCAGCTACATGGTGTCTCCTTGACTCCTCCTACTCTCTCTATATAGCTCTGTTTGGATTTCCTGTCTGGCTTTACTCTGCTAAGCCATTAGCCGAAACAGCTTTTTTATTAACCAATGGTAATAAAACAGCATAAGGGGGAATCCCACATCATCTCCCCTTTTCTGTCTAATTAAAAAGGAAGGTTTTAACTTTAACATGGTAAAATTACATATAACAAAATAGGTATCAAGCAAGAATTACAGTTATAATATTTAGTCATCCATCCTATCTTTGTGAATCTAAAGTTTTATACCTAATTTATCTTTTATCATAACTAAGAAAAACTATAATTATCTAATCTTCAACTCCATCGAAGACCCCAAAAAGATGTAATTACCTGCGTAAACAGGATTTGCATTGTAAGCAACTTCTAAAACTCTAGAATTGACAGAGACATATTGCTGCCTGCACAGTCACCCAAAGTTCTTCTGTAACATCGGGGTATCCATCTTCAGCCTACAGGCCCATAGTATCTGGCAGACTTTTCCATGAAGCAGGAAATTTGAAGATCTGTTCTGCCTTGTAATGGCAAAGTTCATCAGTTGCTTTCTTCTGTGTCCTGCAGAATGTCTGGCAGTTTCTTCTGTGAATCAGGAACCCTGAAGGACCATCCCATCTTTTGGAATGTTCAGCAGTCACTTTTCTATGGGTCCTGCATGTGCAGTTCATACAGAATACCATCAAGCAGTCCAGGCAAGAGCAGTTTCTTGCCTAAATGGCTGGCCTTGTCACGTTGAAGGCAAACTCCATAAGGAGTTTCTTTAATGCCCATCAACCTCTCTGAAGTAATTGGTGCTGCCAGAAGCAGACATGTCTCACTGTCAAGAAAAGTCCAAGTTCTTAAAACATTTTAAATTCCATATTATGTATATCTTTGAAAGATTTGAAGAATACCTATTCATCTGAAATATATCTCTGTACATCTAGAAAACCTAACTAACACAATTGAAATTTAATTATTATAGATGACTATCTATTAACCTGTATTTCTTAATATATATTACATTTCAAATGAGCTGCATGAGCATAATACCTTAAAGAAGAGTAGAAATATACATATACACGGTATAACAAAATCAACCTTAAATGTGTATCAATAGACCAGAATCCATACCAATGTATTCATCTCCATACGTATCTTCCACCTCTTTTTTTTTAGAAAGACATTGACTGTGACCATTTAACCATTTATAACCAACCCCCTTTAAATGAAAATAAACATTCATAAACAGTTATTTTAGAAATTTGGGAGTTGGTCTCTCCAAACTGCTTCCTGCTGTTTGTTGGGTGAAGTGTTTTTAGGGGTTCATGGAGACATTTCAGGGGGTCTTGTTCCATCAAACCACATTAGCCTGGAAGAAATCCACAGGTTCTCATCTTCTGTGAAATCAAAAGCAGAACCTCTTTTCCAAAGTAACATATCCTTAGACTCAAATTTTGAAGTCAAGATACCTTTATGTTGGTCTAGCTTAGCATCCCCTTGAATCAAATGTCTCTCTGCAGTCAAAAAATTCAAAGAAAACACAATAATATGTATAACTCAGGCTCTCAGTGTATTTTTTTATCTTTTTGTGGCTTATTTTTCTTTACTCCTTTAATCTGACTGTCTGTACTCTTTCATATTACTTTTAGTGTCTCTTTAAAGACTTTGCTTTCTTTTATAACTGTCTATACTCTTTCTTGATGGAGGAAGGTCATTGGTTAAAAAATAAAGAAACTGCTTGATAGGTTAGAACATAGGTGGGTGGAGTAAACAGAACAGAATGCCAGGAGGAAGAGGAAGTGAGGTAAGACGCCTCAGACAGACACCATGCAGCTCATTGCCAGGGCAGACACGATGAAGCTCCGACCCAAGATGGATGTAGGCTAGAATATTCCTGGTAAGCGCACCTTGGGGTTGCTACACACATTAATAGAAATGGGCCAAGCAGTGTTTATATGAATGCAGTTTGTGTGTTGTTATTTCGGGGCATAAGCTAGCCAGGCAGCCGGGAGCTGGGGCGGCAGGGAAGCGGCCCACAGCTCCCACAACACTTTCTCCTCTCTCTCCCAAGCCTACATACATTTTTAAAACACACTAAGACCCATTTAGAGGTCTATTTCTGTCTGAATCTGTCTTTATTGCCTATTTGTAATCATTTTCTGACTAGGAGTGCTTTTTAAAAAAAAAATGCTAAGTGAGTGTGGCTAGGACCAGCTCCACAGCCCTGCCTGTTTTTCTGCCCAGTCCAATGTAGCATGTTCACTGCCAGCCCCGTGAGCCATGCACACCACCCTAACTCCAGGGACACAGCAGGTATATGCTGCCATTAAGTAATTTGTAACACGCTTCTCACAAACGCCATTTAAGTGCAGAACCTCCTGAAAGAGCCAGAATTCCTTCTGCCAGCATGTACCAAGAAGCCATCTCTTAAAGTAAAGCCATGCAATTTTTTTGCCACTAACAGAGCCAGGAAGACTTTTTTTTTAAAAAAAGGAACTGTGCTTCTGCTTGCCACCAGCAAACAGAATCTATCTGAAACAAAAAATGCAGCTACCAAGAAGCTATGCTTAATTCTGTTCTTTTGTGTTTAGAATTCCTTCCCAAGTTCTCTTCAGTTTTAATGTAGATGTAGTTTGTTGAAATATGGAGCGGCGGCGGGGCTGCATCCCCAACACCCCAGCCGCTTGGCTATCTCATGCCCGAAATAACAACACGCAAACTGTATTCATTTAAGAACTGCTTGGCCCATGAACTCTAGCCCTTACAGGCTAATTCTCGCACCTGGACTAGCCCATTTCTAATAATGTGTGTAAGCACCCCAAGGTGCGCTTACCGGGAAGATTCTAGCCTCTGTCCATCCTGGGAGAGTTGAGCATGGCGTCTCTGCTCCAGCAGAGCTGTCGGGTCTCTCTGGGAGCAGAGCAGAGTCTGACCTCACTTCCTCTTCCGCCCAGCATCCTATTCTGTTTTCTCCTCCCATCTATGTTCCAAGCCATGAGGCCAAGCAGCTGGTTTATTATAACTTAACCAATGAAATCAACAGATTGATATATGACACTCCCACATCAGTAGTTGCCCCATGCTGGTGCCATTTGTAATCGGAGACTGCTCTTTCATTTCCCAGCCACTCAGCCCCAAAGTAATCACTCAGAAACTATATTAATTATAATATTGTCTGGCCAATAGCTTAGGCTTCTTATTGGCTGGCTCTTATATCTTGAATTAGCCCATTTCTATTAATCTGTGTGTCACCATAAGGCTGTTAGATTTCCCAGTATCTTTCTCATTTAGTAGCTACATGGCTCCTCCTTGTCTCCACCTTCTCTCTCTCTCTCTCTCTCTCTCTCTCTCTCTCTCTCTCTCTCTCTCTTTCTCTCTCTCTCTCTATATATATATATACATACATATAGAGAGAATATATATGTATATATACATATATAGAGAGACTAAATATACATATGTATATATATATATGTATATATATAGAGAGAGAGATGTTTAGATTTCCCACCATTAACTAGTGGTAATAAAAATAATTTACAGCATACAGAGGGGAACCCCACATCAACTCATAATACCCAAGGATGCTTTTACTCACCATCATTTTGTAACTGAAGAACATATACTGCTTTCTAGGCTGTCCAGTTTTGCACAGTTGATTTCAGATGCAATTTCAAGGTTATGTGCAAAGTGGCGCTGCCCATCTCTATCTTGCAATAATGCTCTTCTTTTAAAGGCGTAGGTTCTCTACTGGCAAGATTTCAGTTATCCGAAGGCCCAAGCAAACCTTCCCCATTGGTTGTGCAGTTCACGAGTGAAGGAAGCACACTGTCTGGCTGTGACATCGAGCTTGTTGGAGCAGGGTACCGGTTTTCACTCATCAAGAAGAGGTTTGCCGCAGGTAAATGGATAGCTTTGGTTTCGCTGGCAGAAATTGTGCTGCTACCCCTCCTCAAGCAGGAACCAAGTGTTGTTTCTCATCGCCTGCTTCCTCATCCCCATCCCTACCTCCCATTAGAAAGCAGACTGATATTTGAATGAAGTACAGATGAACCGGCAATCCCAGTGGGAAGGCTCTGACTGGGTATGCTGGGTCTGTGTCTTATGTTGGACTGAGCTGCCATCCCCCATGACTGATTTGTATATTAAAGTCAGGGGGATAAGTCCTGCAGCTGTGTTGTCAACAAGATGGACACACGTGGGTTTGACTCGCTCTCCGACCTGAAAATGTATCTTGTTTAAACAGGAGAAAGAGCATTAAAAAAATGTGTAACATACCTAAGTATGGAAGCATTAGATTCCTTGGAAGGTTTTTGTTCAACATCTGGACTTTCTGAATTTTAGAATTGTCTGGCTAAGCTGAGGCCTTGGAATATCTGCTTTTTGACTTTAAAAGCAACCTTTAATGTATCTGTGGCCCGATGGCTCAGTGCTTAAAGACACTTGCCACACTTACAGGTGAAAGGACAAAACCAACTTGGAACAGCTATCCTCTGAGCTCCACACACATGCTATCTCATGCACTCATACATACACACACATCATATATACACACACAGTGATTTTTTTAAGAAAAAAAAAAGAATATGTGTTAGTTTTGAGCTGGTGAGGTGATTCAGTGGATAAAGGTACTTGCAATAAAGCCTGATAACCTGAATTTGACGTCTTGGAATCAGATGATAAAAAGAAAAAAACAACTCCTACAAGTTGTCTCTAACTCGCACACATCTGCCAAAGTACGAATGTTCACATATAGGCCGGGCGGTGGTGGCACATGCCTTTAAAACCAGCACTCAGGAGGCAGAGGGCAGGCGGATCTCTGTGAGTTCGAGGCCAGCCTGGGTCTACAAGAGCTAGTTCCAGAACAGGAACCAAAAGCTATGGAGAAATCCTGTCTCAAAAAATCCACACACACACACACACACACACACACACAAATGTTCACATATATACTCTCCCTCTCTCAAAGAGAAGAGAGAGAGGGAGAGGATAGAAGGAAGAGGAGGAGAAAGGAAGAAGAAAGAAGGAAGAAGAAGGAGAAAAGAAAAGGTCTAGTCTACAGACATAATCTGTTTGCCAAACTGAGTATGGCACAAACCATGATGCTCTTATGGAGATGATTGCCCTTGTCAGTGGCTTGCTGGGGTAAAGCCAGAGCCGTACACATATGAACCAAGCATGTTACCATTCTCCGCTTTTTTTCCCTCTGAGTCCTGGTTTTTACACCTGCAGTTCCGATGCAATTATTAATTATATCCCTTTCACTCTCAAATGAACTAAGTCAGAAATCAATATGAAGAACTTCCCATATTCAGGGACAAATCCCTGACCCACCTGGGCAGGATGCAGCATGCTCAGCAAACTGTCTGTCCACAGAAGTAGAAGGGGTGAGTTTGGATGTGGGAAACTAGGAAACCTGAAAACCTCACCACTTTGTAGGAGTATAGAACCCCAAACATGCAGTGTTTGGCTCCAAGGGGTTGGGCAGGAGGAAAAAGGTCATCGCACCCTTGAGTTTGTGGATAACGTTTTGATCTGTGGTTTTGTTTTGCAGGAAAATACTTGGCAGATAACTAATAAAATCTCATGCAAGGACTTGGAAGACCCATGTCCTGGAGAACTGTTGTATGAGAGACGGGTTTTAATCTGGTTTGATGAAAACCAACCGATATCTATACTTGGGGTCCAGCAACTGGAAGGTCCTGGCTTTCAGCAGTGATTTCCCACACACAGTCCTATGATGATCAATTCTACAGTATTTACTTCTAGGTGTAATATTGTTAACGGTTTTAAAATGTAATTATTGTATTTGTAAACTGTACCTTCATTCCAGTCAGGCACTTAGACACTTGAGTTTTAGTAATTTCCATTCCTGAAGCGGATGTAATTTAAATTGTGGTATGTAAATTTAATAGTAGTCCTGTGGAACGGCACAGTGCTTACAAAGATAGAGTGCATTTTGTCAATATATAAAATTTAAATATAATGTTGATAGTTATCATAAAGGGGGTGCCACACATCAAGAACCTTAAATGGAACCAGAAAAAAAAAAACTTACTTTTCTTCACTCCTTACTATGTTTTCCTCTAGTGCTAAAGAAAACTTCTAGATTCAGTTTAGTGGGTTAAACTCAGAAACTATTTCAGAAAAAAAAATTCTAAAGTTACAGCATATTCAAAGAGAAGCATTAATTACCACTTTTTAAAAAAAAGCTTTTTTTTCAAACTGCAAATTTCATAAAAATGCAAACTGTGTAAACAGGGCCTCTTATTTTTATAACTTGTGTAAAAAGGGGAAAAGCAATTCATATTTAAAGTTTAAGTATATTAAATTCTATCCAAGAGTGCAGAGGATGTTGGAATTTTACCTGATCCCATGCCCCCATCTCTGCAGTTTAGCAGATGTGGAGATTGCTAAACCATCAGATTAAAGCCAACATAATTTTTAAAGTTTCAAGACTTTCTGTAGCTGAACTGGTTAATATTTTTGCACAATTGCTCAGAGCAGAGGGGCTTGTCTCTTCCAGCATCCAGGAGTACCCCGTTCCTTCTTTACTCACAAGAATCAAAACATTGAGAATATGGACCTTAGAGGGGGAAAAAAAAGTTGCCTGTTTTGATCCAAAAAGAGAATTTTAAACTTATCATGTACATCTTTGGGGAAGGAAGAAATAAGCTTTATATATTAAATTCTATTAATCTTGTTGTCCTATGAATATTTTTGAATGATTTTAAGATTCATTGTATAAAACTATGAATCTTTGCTGTTCTTGGGGAATGGGAAGCACAGGGCAGTTGCCTTGAAGCTCCGTAAATACCACAGTTCTGGGACTGGGGTGGGGGGTATGCCCCACAGGACAGGATCGGAGCATTGTCCTGTGAGGTCTGAAGATTCAGTCTTCCAGGAAGCCGCCAGTTGTTTCAACAGAGCAGTTCCTGTTCCGGACTATCCTGCAATTGAGTTGGGGTGTGTAGCCTTCGCTGCTGAATTTCATTTTGTATTCACTCAAATTTGACAAAGATCTTCAGCTCCCTTCAATTCTAAAATCAGATTAAATTTTTTTAAGTCTTACTTCAACCGTGAGATTTCAATTGGCAGCTGTTTCTGGCGAGCTCCATAGATTAGTCTATGTTCTCTTCAGTCAATGCTTGCTAGAAGAATGTCCAGTCCAAGATGATCTGTTTTACCTGGGAATAATTCAACTATTCAAAAAAAAAAGAAAAAAAGAAAAGAAAAAAAAGGCTCTTCCCCAAAGCAGCCTGGCTTTGAAGGTTTAGGGTTTGGTTTTTTTTTTTTTTTTTGGTCTTTTTTTTTTTTGAACAAACTAATTTGTTCACAATAAGTTTGGTTTTGAAACAAAAATAGAGAAATAAAATGTAAAACTTAAATCTTATGGAACATGGGGAAATGAAAATTTAAGCCAATGGAGGGTAAGGAGCAGAAAAATGAAATCTATCTACAATGTGATTATAAAATGTTTTTAAGTAGTCAATTCATGGAAAAACATCAAATATTAACAAGAAAGCATATTAAAAATGTGTAAATATTACTGTTTCTCATGTCTTTCTCTTTATATCTTATTTTATATCGCTTTAGAATGAATTGCTCCTTAAATACATGGTGTTTCTTCCCAAAGAATAATTTTATGGATATCGTAAAAACGTATTTAAGAGATAGAGATTTGAATAGTCTCTAACATTATTCAAATGTTTCCAGGAATCAAATTCAAAACTGTGAAGAAATCCTGTAATCCCTTAATTGACTTTGGCAAAATGGAATGGCAGTTGGTGATCTCAAAATTAAGGCTTGAATATTCCGAGCTTCAGTGGGGGAATGGGTGGTTCCTTCCAGTTCAGAAACTGGGTCAAGTAGCCTATGCCCACACCAGGAATGGACTGGTGTCCCAACTGGTTTTAATCTTGCAGGCTTCCATCTCCTGTCAGAGCTGGTATCTGCAGCACTGTGGGATAAGAATTCATGTTCTGAGATAGGGGTCCTCATCAAGGCAAAGTTTCAGTTAACAGTATCCATGGAGTCAGGTTCCCTTCTGTCCAAAGAAAGTGGGTTAGCAGGTAACAGATGGTTTGCAGGACAGCGAGCTGAATTAAGAGCAAGTTCTGGTTAGCCACAGAGCTGTTTCCTAAAAGCGCTTGTTCTTAAGCTGATAGGAAGTGTAAATGTTTTATTTTGGCCACGTAGAAAGTCTGTTTTTCCTCTTCAAAGAAATTCCCTGTTTTTATGAAATTTTAAAAAATAAATTCCTGTTTACATTGGTCTGAATTTTATCATAATTGGCCTTGCAATTACTAATCTAAAACTCCGAGTGCTACACCCACGGCTCAAATGACCATTCCCTGTGTGATATTTGGGACACAGTTTACCTGTCCGTGTGCAGAGGGTTCCGAGTGACGGGAAGGTCAAAGGGAGATAGTAGTGCTTTTTGCTGTTCTGTAAACGTCTTCTCACTCCCAGTCTGCAAAGCCTGAGAGCCGTAGCTACGCACATTTCCACTTTGAAGTCTCCTTCTGGAGGGATCAAACCTACCTTAGCTACCACTGCTGTCCGCTGTGCGGGCTCAGAGGAGTCCCTGCCCCCTTCTCACCTGTAGTGTGCGACGGGATCCGTAGGTCGCTTTCGAGCTTTTTGTAATGGAACTTTTATTTTTCTAATAATAAAACTGTTCCTGGAATCCTAGAAAGCAGAATGTTGCCGAGCATTGAGGGGCTCTCCTCCAGACACTGAAACATAGACTCACAATACCTAAAGGGCTTCAAAGTACCTTCTGACTCTAGGGACTGGCCGTTCTGCTTTACCCAGATAAACCACCCAGAAATAAGAACATGCGCATTCACAGTGGTTCATGGCCACGCAATAAAAAGAGTTGTGCAGCGAGTGCACCGCAGCTGCCAGTCCCTGCAGATAATGCTTCGTTCAACCTCAAAAAAAAAAAAAAAAAAAAAAAAAAAAAGAGGTAAAGATTCTTTTCAATCCTTATTTTCCTAATGACGGTATGAGGTTTATTTCCCCAGAGCGACACCACAGGACCCAAAGAACCCCAACTGTCCTAAGCGACAGAATGAGTACCTTGCTGTTTCATTTGGTTAATTTTTGGGAGAATAATCGAGTTGGATGTCAAAATAAAAGGCACTGTGAAAGGATTACAGGTGGGCCTGATAAAATGTTATTTCAAAAGAACTGATGTCTCTCAGAGGATGCTATGTGGCACCCTTACTTCGAGTAATGATTTCAATTGGGGCCCTGTCTCAGAACCTAGACAGACTGCAAATGGATACCATCAAGTCTTTATAAATCTCTAGGGATAGTACTTGGGGATATGTTTATTGATAAGCATCCAAAATCTGAGCATCACGACTCTGATAGATCTCTAGGGCCCTTTTTACTGCTCACAAAATAGCAGACTGGAATATTAATTTCAAAGGCAAATGCCGTTTTCCTAGTGTTTTTCCTCAATTCAGTCTAATAATAGCTACTAGGGACTCTGGAGCGCTGGCCTGGAAATTGACATTGTTTCATAGACTCTTGGCTTCCTAAGCATAGATGAGCCTCTTCCAAAAATAATTGTATCAATTTTTCCTATGTTTGCCTTTTCTCAAAGCAATCACAAGTTGTCAATGAATGTTAAATGATAGTAAAATATGCAAATATCCACTTGTGAGGTGTGTGTGTGTGTGTGTGTGTGTATGTTACAGCTTTCTTTTCCCCCAAAGAGGATGCATTTTACAAAATCACAGTCAGTGAAAATGTATACAGTTTGTCATGGGATAGTTTCTGTTTGGCAGCTTCTAAACACCAAAAGCAAAATTACTAGTAATATCAAAGTAGGCTCAGAATACAGCTTAGAAACTTAATATACGGGAGGGTGGTGTTCTTGTGACGCCCCCGGATGTTCTCACTAACCAAGCAGTCAAATTGTTGGCATAAATAAACAGCTCAGGCCGAGTGACACCTGATGCCCCTCTCTACCATGCTCATGTATCTCTTGAGCTTTGCTGGACCGTCCTCACTCCTTTGGCTTTCTGTTTGTGTTGTGTTGGCTTTGTTTGTTCCTTTGGCAAACAATGGAGAAAGCCGTTCTCTCTCACTTATGAGTTAAATATGGCTTCTCTCATGTTTTGTGTTAATCCATACAATCGTGAGAAGCGAGACAGACATGCACCCTCTACAACTCCTTATGTTAAAAAGGAAACATATGGAAAGCACTGACCTTTCTCGCCTATCGCTGCTCAGGGACTGTGTTATCTTCCGCAAGGCAGAATTACATCGTTAGGACCCAACCGAAGTAAAGTCCTTTGTGAATGACTCAGGTTTTGGTTAGCTGAGAGGATGAGTCAGGCTGGCCTTTCTGATTGATCCCAGGTTTAGTTTCTGCTTTCTATCCTAAGCAGGCAGTGCTGCACAAAAAGAAGAGGCTTGTTGACATGTGTCATAAGTATAATAATCTAGCCTCCAGATTTCACTTCTGATTTCCTTCCTTTATTCCTGGAGCACGTTGCCTGTGCTAAATATACATCGTTAGCCTCGTTAGAGAAAAGAGGTTTCAGCGCAAAGCCAATACAGACGAAAGTGACCCCTATTGCTGTTGTAAAGAGAAGGAAGTATAGTAGGTTAGGAGTGCACTTATTGGTGTTTTCCAAACCGTGTGGCTTGCGAGCCCAAGCAAGCTTTCATTGTGTTGTGAAACACACGGTCCTTTGCCACAATCGTCACTCTTCGGATATGGGCAATAACTGTCACAGTTCATGGAACTTAGAATGTCGCGGAACTGGGAAGAGGGTGTTTTTATTTATAAGGATACCTTGAGGAACTTCAGGAAACCTTCCTTTTAATTCTAGTTCACAGCTCCCCTGGAGGACGTGTAAGTCAAATATTATAAGAAGGAAGGGTAGGTTAAGCTTGTAGCTTTAAGGGGATTTTGGCCATTGGACATGAATTGTTATCTGGGCTCACTAGTATCTTTCAGTGAATTTTAACTTTATTGTCTAAAGAACTCTTAACCCGACATGGAAATATTTTAATTTTTTTAAGACCTGAGTCTGTGATCAACACTTCAAGCCCCTATTTGTTGAAAAGATTTCAGATTCTTGAAGTCATTAACACTAGTGAAGAATCTTCAGTTATATTTGACTAAACAGCTTCAAGAAGCCAAATCATGTCTGAGCGATACTGATAGTATTTTTACATGAATTTTGGAATTCTGTGAAACCACTTTGGTTAAGGCCAAGAGCAATATACCGCTTTCTCAGCAAAGTCAGAGGGCTAACCCTGAGTGTCGGGTTTTGTTTTGCCTTTTGCTTTTTTTTAAACTAATTTTCTAACATAAAGTCAAATTATAAAATGTTCCTTTATTTAAACTTGTTTATACTAGACAGAAAAGACATTTACATCTTTTGAATGCAATCCAGCCTTTTGTCCATTCAGATCTCTGTAAGTTTCCTGCTTCATAGACTGAGTATATCATCCATATATTAGCACCAACTGACTCATTGAACTTCCATTAACTTATTGACATCGTGACATCGTTTCTGGCAAAATGAATGTTGAATGTCATTTATTCATCATCACCTTAAGCTATTTAAAATAATCTATCAAATGACTATCTCATAAGATCCAAAACCTGGTATTTTTCTTAGGGGTCCCTCGGATGACAGTTCTTAAAGCTGCATTGATTCCAAGGACTGGTTTTTGATTACTGCTTTTAAAATGAATATGCATAAAAGAGATTGGTGCCTCTCTCTCTCTCTCTCTCTCTCTCTCTCTCTCTCTCTCTCTCTCTCTCTCTCTNTCTCTCTCTCTCTCTCTCTCTCTCTCTCTCTCTCTCTCTCTCTCTCTCTCTCTCTCCCCTGCCCACCCATTCCCCTGCATCCTTCTCCCACCCACCTCACCCCACCCTGCCCCTTATCTCTGCCAAAGGGAACTTGAAAATTGATGTTGAGTGCTTATTTTGGAAACCAGAAGGAGATATGGTGGTGACCCTCTAGTCTTACCTACCACAGAGCTACCCTGAATGCCAGGCAGGGATTCCTAGGGCTGAGTTCTGGCTGCTTGAACACCAGTGTGTTTCAAGTGAAAAGATTCCTCATTAGTTTACCATGTGTATAGGGCAAAGCCTGTTGGTCAGCTTGAATCATCATCCCACTAAGAGGCAGTGTAAGCCATCGGTGTTTTACTCTTCTTTAACAATAAAAAACCAGGAAAGGCATCACAGAGAATTCTTGCTGTGTTTCTATCTATAATGCAATCCATTCAGTCAGTGAAGAAGATGTTTATAAATGTGTACTTTGACCTGGTAGTGGCCTTTATTTCAAATTATCTGTGATCCATGTAGCAAAAGTACACTGACTCTCTTTATAATTCTGTACTGAATATTATCATCACGCAAAACATCTTGGACATAAAATAGTTACAGAAGAAACTGTGCGTTCAAATACTCAAGGTGTATTTTAAATTGAGTCGACAAGTCAATGTCTCGTCTTTTTCTCACCCTGTTCAGTCCACCCATGTTCCCTGACCCTTACTGCCTAATCTGCAGTCCAGCTCTAGTGCTTCCTGTGTGCCCACACCGACAAAGCAGCAGAGGCTTGCTCCCTCCGAGGACAGCTGGGAGCTCTCTCTCTACTGGGCAAGGGTGGCAGGAATGTGGCTGGACAGATTGAAAATAATCATGATACCATCTTTACGTCACTCGCCTTATGAGTTAGTAAAAGTGTGACTATCACTTTTTGTAACAGGTGATTTTTATAACTGTTCTTTCCTCCATGATTCTTCGAGTCACCCAGCTCACAAAATCTTGAATATGCAATTACTCATCATGATGTATTACTGCAAATAGGGTTCCCATTTCAAACTGCAGTTTAATGTAAGTTGTTATCGAAATGTGATTTTTTTCCTGGAAAATAAATGAAAAATATGAAAAATAAACTGACCCGTGAACCTTTTATTTCCTGTATCTTAAAATTTTGGCTACATTCTTGGAAAACATAATTACATAATTAAGGGAGGGGTTGGTGGACCCACTGTCTGGCAAAGTCAAGGGCTTTCTAGTGGGAGGAACACAGTTTCATGATTTGACTAGAGACCTGAGCAGGTTACATCATAGTTCTCAATATATCCTCACAAAAATAAAACAGAATAACGGGGTCTCTACATCATGGGGTCTTTAAGCAGCTTAAATGGGGTACCGGCTATTGATCACCAAATAGAGCTACCTCGTTGGTAGTAGTCAAGAAGTAATTTCCTGCTCTTTGTGAAAACGTGGGTCGGGATGGCCTTGAGGGCTCTTTGAACACTAGGCTGGAATCCAGCTGCTCAGCTTCCATCCTGGCTTCTGAGAACCAGGAGGACGTTTGTCAAGGACCACACAGTAGCCTGACCCCAAACAGCCTGCACTCCTAACTTCCTCAGCTTCAGGAGTCTAGTCTTACTAAGCTTTAGTAGTTCCTTGTCCACGGAGGAAGTGAGGGAGGGCAGCCTGCTCCTGTAACAGCAGGGTTTAAAGACCCTATGCTCCCTTACACCCCAGGTGTGCCGATTAACATCAGTTTTGGGGTCACTAATTCTGTAAAGAGAGAGCAATCATTTCATGGCATAGTTGTTGGGGCAACGAAATAAAAGTGAGCCGCTGCGCAGCATCTGTCAGCATCTGGGAGAGAGGGGGTCAGAAGTATCTTCATATCTCGATGTTATGTCCGGGAAAACTTCGGTATTTCCCACTGGCGCCCCTGACATCCGGGGACGCAGCTTCACAGTCAGATCGTGGCAATCCCACAAGGCGGGGCTGGGAAGGCTCCCTGGAGACAGTGATAATGGGATGCCTTAGTCAAGAGCGGCTCAAAGGCCCACCGAGCCGAGCCGGGGAGGGGCGGCCTGGGCAGTGTTTGAGGAGGTCACCCTGGAGACGGGGCCTGGGCTCCTACGGGAACTGCAAGACTAAGCAGCAGCCCGGCTTCTGCAACTCCACTGAGGACTTCCCAGGTCCAGGCGGTCCGGCCTGCCACCCAGCGCACAGCAGGTCAGTGCAGGTGCTTGGGGGGGGGGGGGTGGCAGAAGGTTCAGGAAAGGAGGCGGAGGCTGGGAAGGGAGCAGCTTATGTGGGATAACTGCGATCTCTGCTCCCAGTTCCACAAAATCAGAAAAAGTGATCCCAAGTCTGGCTTCAAAGGGTGATGCTCAACTTATCTACCAAGCGCTGGTCGTCAGCGGTCTCCCCTACTCGCTGCATCGCTGATAGTTCTCAATTCCTTCTGGGGTCTCTCTGGAGAGGGTGTGCCTGCCAGCAGAGTTGAGACTAGCTAATTCTCTGGAAGGCACCTAACTCCCGTTAGGAGTGCAGTTCTTAGTTCTTCTGGAAGGGAAGAATCAGTGGAGTCACGTTTTAAGCAAAGCAAATACTCCAAAGAGAGACGGGCTCAGGCTGTTCAAGGGGTGGGAGCCGCGCAGTGGGCTCTTCATAGTGGAATTTAAAGTTTATGAATATTTATGAGATAGATGACATATTCATGGCATAAGGCAAACATTTTTTTCTCTCTCCCAAATTACAGTAAACCGGATCTTTTTTTTTTTTTTTTTTTTTTTTTTTTTAGAGAATTTCTTCCTATGATTTCTTTTTGTTTGTTTGTTTTTCAAGACAGGGTTTCTCTGTAGCTTTGTTGCCTATCCTGGAACTCCCTCTGCAGACCAGTTGGCCTCGAACTCACAGATATCCACCTGCCTCTACCTCCCGAGTGATAGGATTAAGGGTGTGTGCCACCACCGCTCAGCACTTCTTATGATTTCTAGAAAAGCTCCCACAAAACAAGAAGTCCACGTCTTGTGTGTCTGCCTTCATTAGTGCGCACGTGTATGAAGACACCCTAATGCTTTGGCTTTTTGATGAGGAAATAAGGAGAATTCTGACCATCAGAGACTCAGCTACCAAAATGCCGTGCTAACTCACCTCTAGTTCCTTTCTGAGACTGTTTTAGGCCCATGATTGATCTCTGTCTGTTAAGACATTTTTATTTTTAAGTTGAGGTTTTTCACTGAAGGATCTGGCCAGGTTTTACAGCAAACTGGTAGCCTACACTCAACTCTCTGTAGAACTGGGTTCTCCCAGTGATGCCTCTCCAGTCTGTCTACTTCATCCAAGCACACACCTGCGCACCGTATTTCCCTCCACAGCGAAAACGGCAAAGCTTAACTCGGAAATGTGTATCAAGATCAGATGCAGAGCAGTAATAAAAATATTGACGTGGGGTACAGGACAGCATCTTTCTACAGACACCCATCTTTCCGCGGTAACTCTCTCCCTATCCATCAGTTAAGCATCCTGACTACAGAGTAATGTCTGTTTGTGTGAATTAGGTACACTGTGGCTTAAAAAATATCCTATTCCCAGCTGTATAGGCACAACAAAGTCACCTACACTGCAGATTCCTGCTCTCAGAAAACCTCCATCCCCATCCAAAAGGGTCACACTAGCAGCTGGGTCCTCTAGCTGGGATGATGTTGAGCTACAGAAACTAAATGATTTTCATAGCTTTCTTTTGTTTTTTTTTTTTTCACAGTATTTTTTCCTAGAGCGTGTTATGATGTCAGCCTTGGCTAAAGAGAAAATGTTTCTTGCACTGAAGAAAAGAGGGAGTGTGTGCTCCCCAAGTAATCATGAGTCCCAACAGAAGGAAAGTCGTTGGCGCTCTAAACAGTGAGTACCTGGGTGTCTGGTGCCTCCGACTCCGAGGAATGTTTACCAACAGGTAAAACATATTCCTAGGAATGGAAGTGGTTATGGGGAGGGTACAGGCAAGACAGTGTTCCCTTGGTCTTCGGTGCTGTTATTTAAGGTGGGGGAGGAGGCTTACGTGGATCCTAGCAGCACGTTTACTGCTTTGAAAACTTCCTCTTGCTCCAGCTGCCCTCACAAGTCCCTTAATTTCCCCTCAATATTTTAAAACTTCACAGTTTGCCCATCTTGTAATTGTATGTACATATACAACGCAACTATTTAATACAAATGTTGTACTGCTTTCAATCTTTGTCCACATCCTCTTAAATGGCCATATAATATTTATGGATTTGTGATCAGGATCAGGTAATCACTTGCAAACTATTGGACATTTTCAAATTCTTTTCTTTTTTTTTTTCTGTTTTCACTGTATAATAATTCTCTGCGTGGTTCTCAACAGTATAGTTAGCGAGTCAAAGGTCACAAACACTTTGTGGCTCTTTTGTAGCATTTGCACTCCTAAAAAAAAATGAATCCATCTTTAATATTCCCACGGCATTCCATTTGGGCCATCATGGCAAGAAGACAAAACAGATTACCTGAGGCAGTGGTCAATCAACTTCCAGGACGCCCCCATGTTAACACCGTGGCTGGGAAGTGCTAACGCTTTGCAGAACAGACCAGAATGAATGCGGGATGTGGAAACTGAAGCTTTTGATCGCCAGAGTGATTCCATTTACACCTATAGTTACGTACCATTCCCCTTTCAGGCCTACACGTTCGTAGGCTGCAAACACAATCTCCCTCTGTTCGCACCAGCCTGAGTCAGAAGGAAGGGCGCTGCAGGGATCGGTTCCTGCTTCTGATCCCCAGCTGTGCTCTCCCGTGAGCCCTCTCTGTCTACTGAGGGCCAGGCACTGGTGACTAACCCCAGAGCCTCTTGCACCCTAGGTCAGCATCTGCCACTGAGCTACACCCCAGCCCTCCTTTTATGCTTTAGTTTGAGACAGGGTTGCTCAGTCGTCCAGAATGGCCGTGGGCCCTCTCTGTTCCAACAGCGAGCTTTAAACATGCCACACCCTGCTCCATCACCCAAGCTGCTGGTGCTACAGACCCAAGTCACCAAGGCAGCTGCATGCTCTTTTTACAATATGCTTAAAAATAATTGCCACCTATATACAGTTTACTTGTTTATCGAGACCACTTAAGAATCTGAAGCTTTGTCAGAGGCTGGGAAGCAATGGCCAAGGACCAAGTACAGTCTGAAACACGGCTGGGTATGGCTTCCTATCTAGGAGTGCTTCCTCCATAGCTAAAATCAAAATCTAAAGGAGCACAGTTTTGTGGCATGCAAATCTTGGTAGAAACCCAAACTCCATGCTCCATAAATCCAGTTTTTAGATCGTGGCTTGCCTCCTCCATGCAGTGTCTCCAGCGGCTTAGGGACCACAGCAACAGAGACAAGCTACAGCAACAAAAAGCTTAAGGCCCACAAACCCCAAAGTTCCCGCTATTTGACCTCTTCCAGAAAGGTTTGTCAGTGTCTCCTCTACTAAACAGGTGTGGGCACCATCCTCCTTTTCAGATAAAGAAATGGCAGCTCAAGTAAGTTGAGACTCTAAAACCTTAGAGTTAGCAAATAGAAAAAAAGACGTTGATTAGCCAAATATTTTCATTGCACAGAAAGCGGCAATCTGTGTGTGATTTACATGAATGCCCCTGTACAGTTCTACTGTACGTTTGGGTGAATGTTGGAAACTACAGAGTGTTTCTCTTGCCTCAAACCTAAGTTCCCATGATTCATGGAACAAAAACTGTGTGGCCCCCACATTCTCCACCAAAATGCGTTGGCGTTATCTAGCCTAGCAGGTCAGCCACACTGTATCGACTTCCTTCAGTTGTTTATCCAGGATACAGTGAGCCTCTAGCATGTGTCTGCTGTTGTATCACACACATCAGGCATAGAGAAGTAGCAAAATCGAACATAGAGAACTCTGTCGTTCCAGCCAGCAGAGAGTTACTTGGGAATGGCTCCATAGCAGCTAGGTAGATCAGTGAAAGATCCAATTGGAAAGCATTGCCCCCATGGGCTTTGTAAAAGCCTGCTTGGGCAGACAGTGGACAAATAATTTTACATGGAATGAATTTATTCTAAGATTACAACCCACGAACCTTCACATCAGAAGTGAGGTCAGGCTATCCTTTCTTTTGACCCCTGAGGGGAAACGCTGTAAGATAGAAAACCAAAGGGGGAGTATGTGGCATAAAGCCTTCTGCATCAAGCTGAGAAACAGCTTCGTCAGAGAGAGAGAGAGAGAGAGAGAGAGAGAGAGAGAGAGAGGGAGAGAGAGAGAGACAGAGAGACAGAGAGAGAGAGAGAGAGAGAGAGAGAGAGAGATGGAAAAGCTGGAATGTCACGTTTCTTAGTGAAACACAATGGCCTCCCTGTGCCTCTTGTGGGAAACTATGGATTAAACAGAGAGGATTCTATTTTACCCCAATTTATAAATGGGGAAATGATAAATGATTTCTTTAAGGCAGACTAGCCTATAAGTCACTATTTGGACCAGGCTGACCTCAAATTTGCAGTGATCCTCACACCTCTCTGCCTTCTTAGCTCTGAGAGAAGAGACATGCATCACCATGGCCTTGGACGTTTGAGGGTTTGGGTTCTTGTGTCTGACGTTGTTTTAGGAGAAGACTCTCTCACTGCAAGGAGGGAGATGAAACTGATCTGGTACCTTCTACACTTACACGGATTTACTCCAGATGGAAGGTGGAGAATGGAAAGCTATAAAGCACACAGAAGAAGCACAGGAGAACCTCTCTGTTCTAGAAGGATGTCCATCACACACACACACACACACACACACACACACACACACACACCCGTGCTCCCTGGAATCCCTAATCCACTTCAGCCTCCTGAGTGTTTGGATTATAGTTATCCACTTCCACATCTAGCAGAAAATTATCTTAAAGGAAATCCCACCATAAATACCTAATCCAGAAGAAAACTAAAACGTTTTTCATAAATAGAACTTCAATAAAATGTCATATTTTAACAAACTCCATAGTAATAGAGTTAGTAGCCTGTTAGAGTTTGCTTATATAGAGTTGTGTGTTAACAATAAAAAAAAAGGAAGCCAGTATTAAACAGAGTCAAAGGACACGACGGTGTCCAGAGGAAAGCTCAAAGGGCACAAGGAGAGCAGGAAGAGATGCCCAGAGCACAAGGGAAACCAGAGCTGTGTAACTGAGAACAAGGTGCTCTTCTGTGCCTGTCCTGACAGCGAAACACTGAGAGAGAGGATGTCGGACAATGCTGAGGCAAGTGAGAATAAAAATGGACCTGGCTACTCAGCACACACATCATATGGGCAGCAATAATAAAGTAAAATAAAAAAAAATGTAAGTTCTATAGACACAAGAAGTTTAATTGCCTTTTGTATCTCCTGGTAGGACATCTCAAAGACAGACCTGGGCACAAAACTGTCCTTCAGTAGCTATTTTGATCAGTGTGTGAACATTACTACTACACTACATGAATTCTGGAACAAGTACATCCTTTTGCTTTCACACAAACTGGACTCACGAGTCTGTGCATACATTAAGTCCAGGGTGACTTGTACGACGACTTTACAACTCATAGAAAGTGTTTCTCTGAGTGCTTAGTACAAAAGCAAGCTTTATTTTAGCCTCCTTCTTAAAAGTCGGTTTGCATCTCTTCCAAAGATGAAAAGGGAGGGAGAGGAAAGAAAGAAGACAGAGAAGAGAGGAGAGCAATTGTTTCCTCTGCGTGGGACATCTGTGATGGCCACACCCCTCATTGATGACTTCACAGTGAGGTGTGGTAGCCAGGGCTCAGATGCTCCCAGAATCACCCCTGGCTCCTGACTGCAGTGTGGCTTTGAAACCATGCCGCATCCAGGGCCTGCAGGAGAATTCCATCATCTGGCCTTGCCCATCACCTCCCTTCCTCTCAGATGAGCACTGGCCCTCAGCTTCAAGATCCAGTCCTAGCCTTTTGCCTACACTCACCGTGGTTCTGTTCTGTCCATCACCACTCCAGATTTCCTTCCATCTGGCCAGGGCTAGGCTTTGTTCGGGAGGTAGGTGTAGTCTTTGTCCTTCAAAACCACTCCTAGTCTTGAAAAATACATCCCATGAGACTATACCCCCGCTGTTCTCTTATCTCTCTAATTTATGAAAAATTCCAACTTCTGTTTCCACTATAACCTTTCTCTTTCTAGAAAGATGGACCAAATGGGATAAAATGTCATAAAACTGCATAATTTCCACAAAATTTGTGTTTCCAAACAAGAGACACCATCTGTTGCTAGAAAAAGAATTGGCCTGCTTTTGGTCTTGAACATAATCAGAAAAGAAAAAAAAAAGAATCCATAGATGTTCTTAGTCCCCAGTGAAGCAGTTTCTGTGTGTACTTTACATCACTCTGTACATCATGCTTCTCGAGCACAGGAGTCTAACTTTCTTTTGTATTATCATCCCTCTGGACTCTTTCTGGCACATTGTAGCAACAAATTCGTGTTAAAAGGCTTTAAAAAGCACACAGAACCTATAGCCTTCTGTTCTCTGTGCACTGTGAAGTTTTTCCACTGGGGGGCAGCACATGACTTTGATGACAAGCTCCCCCCCTTCCTGAAGGCGCTGTTGAGGGGCATGGGTTTCCACCAGTAATAACTCATAAGCGTATACTTGTTCTCAACTGCAGTTCTTACATCAAGAGACCTGTCTATGATTCTGTCCTCAAAAGTAGCCCATCCGCTTCCAAACACTGACTGGATTTTTACACATTTTCATTAAAAAATATTTTTGATGCAAAGGCATACATCTTTTCTCTTTTCCTGCCAGAAATTCCAATTTTTAGATCAGATTTAGATCAGATCAGCACATGCCTGATGCCAGAACTTGAGGACCAAAGATGTAAGGATCACAGAGAATTGGAGGCCAATCTA